ACCAGCTTAGTTGTTCACTATGGTGAACAAAACATGCAGGTACTTATATATAACATCTGTATATAAAAGCAAAAACAGTATGGTGGGAGGAGAATGGTGGCGAGTCAGGTGAGGTGAGGGAGGGAGAAAGTGGCAGCCAGTGGCGGCACTGCCACTCGGCATACCAACTTAGTGGTTTGTTATGGTGAACACAAATGTAGATACTTTTATATATAACATGTATATACAGTGTAATAACAGCAAAAGGAGTGTGGGGAAGAAGCCATTTTGGTGATGGGGTGGCAACATCTGCATGATTTGTCATGTTGGTAGAGGTGGCACTATGCTCTTTGGGCATTATACTGGCTTAGTTGAACAATTATGGTGAACAAAACATGTAGATACTTATATATAACGTCTGTATATAGGGTAATAACACCACAAACAGTATTGTTGGGGGTGAAATTTTAGTGCGTCTGACCTTGGATGTGTGAGGGAGGCAGCCGCCAGCTTCCCGGGCGGAAACATCAAATTCTTCACAGATTAAGAAAGTAATTAGAAACAGAGCAATGCAAAAGATGTACAGTGACCACAACACAGCAGTTGCAACATCGGGATCTGCGGGTTGGTACAAGAATTCAACCAACTACGAACCGCTTAGTTTGATGAAAGGGAGCAGTAGAGCAACAGAAGGGCACTTACATTGCATCAGGCTTGGATACCCATGTGCATGGGAAATAGGCTTACAGGTTCCGGAAGATGAGAGGAAATGTCAGCACTGTGGAGAAATGCCCGACAGACCACTGGAACATTATCTAACACAGTGCACAGTTACAAACCCATTAAGATTTCAACTTAGATTCAACAGAGCAGAAGAAGTTGTTAAACACACATGGCAAAATCTTACTGAAGCGACCATACGAGTAATAAATACTCATACTCCGCCCAAGTAAAACAAACAAGCAACACTTAGTGGGCCAGCCAGAGGCTTAGGGCCCGTGCAGGAATAACCCTGGAAAAAAAAAAAAAAAACGCCAGCTGACTGTATAGCAACGTCTCTTAGTGCCTGAACTAACTATATCAGCTAAGTTGTACAGTTGTGGTGAACAAAACATGTAGATACTTATATATAATATTTGTATGTAGTGAATAAAAGCAAAAACAGTATTGTGGGAGGAGAATGTGGTCAAGTCAGGTGAGTTGAGGGAGGGAGGAAGAAGTGGCAGCCAGTGGCGGGCTGCCACTGCCACTGAGCATACCAACTTAGTGGTTCGTTATGGTGAACACGAATGTAGATACTTATATGTAACGTCTGTATATAGTGAATAAAAGCAAAAACAATATGGTGGGAGGAGAATGTGGGCGAGTGAGGTGTTGAGGGAGTGAGTGGCAGCGAGTGGCTGGCTGGTGTGTGGCGGTCACTCCTCGTTGCTTTTTGACTCATAATACCAACTTAGTGGTTCGTTATGGTGAACAAAACATGCAGATACTTATATATAACCTGTGTATATAGTGTAATAACCGACAAAGTATTTGTTCACTGTTTGATGAACATAATAATTGAATCAACAATATGCACACCATAATTTTGAGTACAGCAATGATTCACTCATTTTATTATATAAATATATCACACTACACACAATTGAATAATACGACAGCAAAAAAACTATGAAATATCAATCAGACATTGAAATAATTAGGTAATTATCTCTTTGTGGCCACTCCTGCCTGACAGCTGGCAAGCAACAGACCGTCTGGGACGCACGCTGAGTCGGCGCCTGTTTTTTGCCAGACTTCCCCACCCTAAAGCGGGCAATATATGCCACTTACGTTTTTTTTACTTTTGTTCCCATGATCAGAGAACACACATGAACAGATTTAGAAGAAAAAAATATATATATATATATTTTTTGTATGCCCCTGTGGGTGACAAATGCTAATTAGCCCTGAGCAACACAAGGATTCAGGCTAGCCAGCCTGCGGTCTATCCCCATGCACATAATGTCCGCAAGTTCTCGGCTCTAGCTGCCGTCTTTGGCAATATGTTCTGGGTTGACATTCAGACGCGGGAATTTTGGCATTCGAACAGGGTCCTGACTGTTCGTTACCTTGTAATATTCCTGGGCCCAGTTGGGCCTGTGTCGCTTTGGGTCAGTGGATGCAGCCAGTTGTCTCGACTTGGGGTTGAGGAGTGAGCAGCAACCGCTTCACGGGTAAGTCCCTATTCTTTTCCTCTGTGGGTAGTTAGCTCCGGGGAGTCATAGGGGCTCCCCCCCAGAAAACCAACGTTGAATGTAATGAAACGCCATTTTCTGGGTGAGTCCTGGAGGCTCCCCGGCATCCCTCCCTCCCTTCGGTTGGCAGTTTTTTCGCGTGTTTTGACATCCAGCCTCAGAACTCGGGTGTGGATCGCCGGCACGTTAGGTCTGGGGCTACCCTTCCCTCTCCCGGGGAGGGTGGGGCTGCACAGACAGCAGCGTGACGACGGATGAAGTCATACTAGTTTGCTCATTTTTGGGGGGGAGAGTTCTATTCACTCGTTCGGCTTTTGGTTGCAGTTTTCACCAGAATAAGGGTTTGTTTTGGGATGCCTACCTTTCTGGGTGCCTAACCCGGTCAATGGCAGACATAGAATGCTTCCAATTACACAGGGGTTTCTATAGGCCATTGCTCCCCTTGCCTCTCTAGAGGGGGCCAGGTTCTGGCTCGTGGTCCCCGGTAGGCCCATAGAACTCCATACACATGACTGATGCCAAAGTCTGACATTAGCATATCAGCCTAGTAAGCTATGGGAATCACCCCAGAAAATGGCGTTTCATTACATTCAACGCTGGTTTTTATGGCATCTCTCCTGGGCCTCCTGTATTCACCTAGTTTTTCTTGCGAGCGTTGAACTCTGCTCTTTCGGCCTGCCTCTCAACTGTCAATCAATCAACTGTAACTAACTACTAACTAACTTATTTTTCTTTCCCACACACACACACACACACACACAGGCACACCCCCAGGAAGTAGCTCCGTAACAGCTGTCTAACTCCCAGGTACCTATTTACTGCTAGGTAACAGGAACATCAGAGTGAAAGAAACTTTGCCCATTTGTTTCTGCCTGGTCCGGGAATCGAACCCGGTCCACAGAATTACGAGTCCTGCGCTCTGTCCGCTCAGCTACCAGACCTCCTGTGTAGTTGGTCTGGTTACCCAATAATGTCTTTAGAGTTACCTTGGGGTCCCATCATCTCTTGTTTAGTGCCTGGGTCTCCTGCTTTAGCTGCTAGGGACACTGGCATACCTGATCTGTTGCCTTGTTCTCTGGGTTCATACCCTGGGGTGGGACTTGGGTCTTGTGCCTTGGCTGTGGAAGTGCATGCCTCTTGGCCATATTTTCAAATATCGCAGTTTATCCAATTCTTGATGTGTGTGTTTTGGGTCTCCAGGTGGGTTCCTGGATCTTCTGGGGAGCTTTCCTGGGCCCCCTGTAGAGTTCTCTGCCTGTCAGGGTGCATGGTACATTACCTGCCTTTCCAGTGATGGTTTCCAGATCAACAAAAATGAAGCCAGTTCCTGGGTGGGTGACTGGGTTGTTCTCTGACTATTAATGTTTCTGCCCAAGTTACCCAAAGCTTTGTCTAGAGGTTCCGTGTCTTTTTATGGGACCATCTTGAGGTTATTTTGAGAAGATTTCGGGGTTTAGCATCCCCGCGGACCAGTCCTCGACCAGGCCTCCTTTTTGTTACACGCCCCCCAGGAAGTAGCTCCGTAACAGCTGTCTAACTCCCAGGTACCTATTTACTGCTAGGTAACAGGAGCATCAGGGTGAAAGAAACTGCCCATTTGTTTCCACCTCCACCGGGGATCGAACCCAGAACCTCAGGACTACGAATCCGAATTGCTGTCCACTCAGCTGTCAGGCCCCTTCACACACTGCCACAGGCTGCTGTTTCTTATTCTTTCATTATTTGCTATTCATTCTGGGGCTTCTCTCTGTGGGCCTCACCAGTTTGACTTTGTGCCCTTGTTGGGTGGCATTCTGCATGTTCACATTCCTGCATTTAGTTACATTGCACTCTATTTGCCCTAATTATGTGGTAAGACAATTGGCAAAGTTCCTTGTTATAGTAGGGCTAAGATTAATGAGTGCTTGGCATCTTACCAGTGTTCTGGGTGGACCCTGGCTGTTGGCTCTGGGAGCAACTGAGAAGCCACTCAGAATGGATTGTTTTAGTTCTCACCATCTTGTTTCTTAGTTTATACCACATGTGCTCTTCATTATACGGTGGAACCTCAATTCAATGAATAAGAGCCTTGGGGAAGCCAAGGCCCTATTTATTTAAAATCAAGTTCTTTGGTTCATCTTAATTTTGAGAATCCCAGTTTTTGTTTACTATTATGAGTCCTTTTTTCTTTGAAAATGAGATTTGAAGGCTAGTGCATTGGAAATATGCATTTAGTTAACTCTGTTTACAGACAGGTTGTCTTCATAGTTGTTCCTCGTATGATAGGTTGAAATTAAAATCTCGCTAGGTGAACGTACAGTGTGGAAAATATTAAGGTATTAACAGTAACATACTTAATATGGCTCTAGTCATGTTTTGATGAATTTTGTAGATGGACTCAACTTTACAAAAAAGTAGTTGGAGCCGTGGGAAAGCTTTTGAAAATATTAAGTGCAAAGTTTGTGGTTCGATTTCATTTTGAGTTAGCAAGGTTTTTGCTCACTCAGGTATGGCCTTGTTACCTTTTAAAAATAAGTTTTGAGGTTGGGGTTGTGAAAAATAAGGTAGAGGTGGTTAAATGTTTTTGCTGACATGTTCATTTGGTAGTTGTCTGTTATATTATAGGTTGAAATGAAAATGTTGCTAAGTGAAATTAGCCCATATAGCATGGGAAATTCAGTCTGGAGGCATCTCCATGATGCATTTCTCGTGCCCAACAAATTACAGTATGCAAAAACATTTTTGCATACTGTAATTTGAGGATACAACTATTCACCCCTTGAAAATAGTTTTTATTGTGAGCAGGTTCGTGAGTGAAGGAGACACTGTGGCACAGTTTGACAGCATTTGTGAAGTACAGTCTGACAAGGCTTCTGTCACTATCACGAGCCGTTACGATGGCGTGATTCGCAAGTTATATTATGAAGTTGATGACACTGCTTTTGTGGGCAAAGCACTTGTGGATATTGAAGTGTCCAAAGAAGGTGAGGAATAATACAATACAGTATATTACTGTATATTCATGTTTATTTTCAGGACATTAGGTGCTATACAGTATTTACTTAAAAGCAGCTAGATGATTTTGTGCATTAGCTGATAAATACAAAACAACATACTGCTGCTTGCCACAGTTTTGTTTGACGGAGTAAGAAAGGTTACCTCACTTTAGATCTAATTCATAAGATAGTTTTGCACATTTTGCCATAAACAGATGACTCGGTAGGAGCAGAGGTACAAGAAGGAGAAGCCATATCTGTTGGTCGTCCTGTGGAAGGGGCTGCCATTGAAGCAGGCAACTTCACACTTCCGAAAGGAAAAATTCTCACAACCCCATCAGTGAGAAGAATTGCAATGGAATACAAGGTATATGTAGTGAATGCATTTCAGCCTCTCTCCACTGTCATCCTGGGTGGGAAGGCATGATCCTGGAATAAATTTGAGAACTAAAGGTTAAGGGTTAGTAATTCACTTTATGCCCTTTCGAATTTAAATACAGTGTTGCATAACGTGATATTTTGTTTAGTTTAACAGTCCATATTTTGCACATTGCATCCATAGTAGCTATAGGTTCTACATACAGGTATTTGAAAGATGGGTTGTAATCTTGGTCTTCATCTCCTACTTTGAAAATTACTTGAAAATGAACTCTCTACCACTCTGATTCATTCAGTACAGTATAACAAAACTGTTTTATTAAAGTCCTCTATTGATTTACCAGCATTCAAACTCCATGTCTTTCCATGACATTTTCATTCTTTTAACTTTCTAGCACAAATGACTCAGAATGGAGATTTTTTCTGCTCTAACTTAAGTTTTTATGCATGTCTCAATAGCTCCTGCTACACCATGCCACCCCTGTTTCTTCCAGGCTGCTGCCTTCCCAACCACAAGTGGGAAATGGTGTAATAATGATGTTGATGACTTCTTAATTGTGTTTGGATGACCACTATTACAAGGAAAACAATTGTATTGGATGTTCAGTAAAAGATATAAAAAATTACCTTTAAAATCATTGATAATATTATAATGATGACTTATATATGAACTGCATTCCTGTTGGATGACCTCTAAAAAAAAAAAACCAGCAAGAGCCAGAAGTTACCTTTAAAATCATTGAAGATAACAAGTGGGAGGAGACAAGGATAAGGTGGAGTGAGAAGAATCAAGTGCAGGCAGTAGATTAAAATATATAGTATCATTTGGTTTTAATATATTATTTCATCCATATGTCATCTAGTACAAAAAATTGTGATGAAGGAAAGTCCCAATACATGTATAAATGTATTAAAAAACAATCTTCTAATGTAACCTACATCCTTTCTAAGGTACTGTAAGCAATGTCCTGCAGTACGTTGTATACAGCAGGCATGTCAAACATGCGAGCCACATGCGACCCTTAACCAGCATACCTGTAGCCCGCACAAATTTCAATTCAATTTCTTTATTATGCACCCCATACCCATCCCGTGGGCAGTGGTGTAAAGGGTTGCAGAGGCACATAATCAGTTCAGGAACTGAACCCTCTAGTTCGTTTAGCTAAGCAAATAACAATCTTTTGATGCTAGTTTCACAATTATTAATGTTGTATATGCAGGTACACATACTCATACATACATGTACCTATATATATACATACAGGTTGACTGATAAACACTTGTCATTTCTCATTAAAGTGGGAACTGCACAGACATTTCAGCCAGACATAGCAAAATTGTCATTAAAAAAGAGGTGTCACGCCTCGGGACAAAACACTAAAAATGATTGAATAGTCGTAAATAAATGTTCATTTTCAACTTTTGTAATTTTTGTACAATGTATTTGTTGCCGTTGCATAGAAGTACTGTATATGTTGCCGTTTAAAATTTATTTTTCTGGGGGAAGCCCCGTCGGCCCCCCGGAGCTATTCAGGCTGAATGGATATGTATATCTTTCTTGCATCAGTCAATGCATGGAGTTTTTGCCTACCGGGGACCACAAGCCAGAACCTGGCCCCCTCTACAGAGGCACAAGGAGCAATGGCCTATGGAGAACCCCCCTGTGGTTGGGAGCATTTTATGTCTGCCATTGACCGGGACAGGCACCCAGAAAGGTAGGCGCCCCAAAGCAAACCCCCTATTCTGGTAAAACTATTGCGACCGAAGGCCGAATAAGTGGACAGAACTCTCCAAACGAAAATTAGCAAATTAGCATGACGTCATCATGTCGCTGCGCCGGTGTGTGCGCACCCCCCCCCTCCCCGGGAGGGGGAATGGGGAGCCCCAGACCCACCTGCCAGCAACCCAACCTTCAGTTCTTGGCTGATGGAAGTCTGGTGCAGTCGTGCCTCTGGCTCCGGTTTTTGTTTCAGTTTTGTGCCTTGTGGTGTGGGCTGTCTACAGGTGGTGAGTGAGCCAGGAGACATATTCCACAATATTCGGGCTGCATGCGCCTAGGGTTCCCTTCCCTAGGTGTCCTGTAAGTACTGCCCTTGGGGCTTGAGGCTTTCTTCCACAAGTCACCTCGGGATCTACCTCCACTGTGCCGTTTACTGCTCGGTACTTGGCCACCCTTGGAGTCAGCTCGGTTTTTTCTTACCCTTATTTGTCTCTGGGTAGGGGGTAGTGATTGTCACTGGTAGGGACGTGGGGTACTGCACAGCTAGATTTCACATATGACAGCGGCTGGCTCTGTTCCGCCTGGGTACGTTGTCCTCTTGTGTTTTTTTTTTTTTTTTTTTTTCTTCTTCTCCTACCTGATGGGGGAGGGGGTCTGCCTTTGTGGTCCCCCATTGCTGTTCTTGGGGTATATATATTTATATACAATGGGGCCTCGACTTACAATGCTAATCCGTTCCCAGAGACGGATCGGAAGTCGAAATATCGGAAGTCGAAGCGAATTTTCCCATAAGAAATAAAGGGATTTGAATTAATCCGTTCCCCACCCTCCAAAATATTAACATAAAAATACATTTTATACTGAATACAATGTTTTTTCTAACTACAATACAGCACCAAAGTTACTCTTACCTTTATGGAGGGCTCTTGATGGCATATGGAAGATGGTGATGGGGGAGGAGGAGAGTTGTTCCTGTTTGGAAGAGGAGTCCCCTTCCATTATCACATCAGGCAGTGATGTTTTCTCTGGGGTACACTCTCTCCTACGTTTTGCCTGAATACCACTAGGACCTGGTTGTGGTTCAGTGCTTGTTTGTCTCACTACAAATTTGTCAAGAGACATTTGTTTTTCCATTCGTTTTAACATTTGTCTGTAATGATGCATCACTTTAGCACCCATAATGTCCTTTTTCTTAGCTAGTATGGTGGATATCGTTGACTGAGATTTGTTGTACTGCCTAGCCAGTTCACCTACCTGCACACCATCTTCATATTTACGAATGATCTCTTGTTTCTGCTCTATGGTCATTCTTACATGGGATCTCATATGTTGAGCCTTACCACTGACTTTCCTGGGACTCATGGCGTATTATATAATAATTGCTTTAATGTTCAAAATGCAAAAAATCACCACAAAAGCGGAATTTCTTATAGGCGCGATAGTCACTAAGCGGGTAGCTGTAGTAAACTGAGGCAGGTCGGACCGCGTGACCGGGAACCACGCGCTCGACCAACCCGAACGTGTACCAACAAATATCGGATGTCGACGACACCATTGGATGTCGAGTCGCATTTTTCGATTAAATTTATATCGTAACTAGAAATTATCGTAAGTAGGGGCAATCGTATGTCGAGGTGCCACTGTTTTTCTGTGTTTGGTGGTCCTCCTCGCTTGGCCCCCGTGAGTGGACACATCCCAGGGGTTCAGCTTTAGCAGTTTGTTTGGTAGACTTGGGTGCCGGTTCGCAGTACCCTGCCTGGGCTTCCCTTAGCGTGTAACCATGGCTAAGGGCCCTGGGAAACCCCACAGGGGCTACGTGGTCCAATGGATGTGACCCCTGAGTTCCCCTTCACGTCTTGCGAGTTTGAAGGTTGCTCTGTCCCTTTGTCTCGGTGACACTCGCCTGTTTTGCCTCCGCCTGTTGGGTCAATGATTGTTTTGACCTGGAGTCGTGCGACATGTGTTGTCTATCAACACATGCTCCCGTTCACCCAAGCCACTGATAATGACGTGTGGGTGCAGGCAGCTGCGGCGTTGCATGCTAGGTTTGCAGCAGGTTGCTGCAACGCTCAAGGTTTGTTGCGGCCCCGGATGCCCCGAGACTGCCTTGTTTTGGTTAAGGGGTCCGGACATGGGGGTGGGAGTCGCTTCACCTCTGGTTCCATTCGTTCCTCCTCATCCTTCCCCTTCTGTTGTGCATACTTCCTTCCTCTTGCTTCCAGCTCCGAACCGTAGGTGGGTTTCGGGATTGGGGCAGGGTCTGGTTGGGTTGGCCATCTCTGGGGCTTTCCTCTTCCAGGGTGGCGGCGGAGGCATTCGAGCCTGTTCCTGCAGCCGTGCCGTATGGGCTGTATATATTTGTATATATTTGTACGGTTGCTCCAGCTTTTACTTGCGGGGCAGGGGCTTTGGGGAAATGACTCGGCCCCGGGTCCTGCCATAGGGGTTCCTGGGGTTGGGGAGGGGTTGTCTGGGGGGCCTAGGCCCCGTTTTGCCTCGTTTGGGGCTTTGTACCCTCAGAGCGGGGCTTGCAGTTCCTCAGAGTGGGGTTTTCCCCTCCCCCCTCTGCATTTGTGTTGGTCTCGGGTCTACCCCTCCCCGGGTTCGGTTCCATGTCCCTTTCGGTTTGTTCGGCTCCGTCCTTCCTGGGGGGTACTTTTCACCCCTTTCTGCACCATTTTCGCGCTTATGTTGCCTTGCTATTCCCTTCGTTTCGGGATCCTTGCACGTCCCTTGGTTTGGGGTGTCTTTGGGCCCATATGTGCCTCTGTGTGCTTGTACTTGTACTTCACCTTCTAGTGTGTGGTCTGGTCATCATACTTTAGCCACATTATTGTGACTCATCGCCTGCAACCTCTTTGGTACTTCCAGTGAGGTTTCCCTCCAGTCCTGCTTTTGTATTCACATCGTCTCTCCTTCCTGTTTCGATATTCCTCATATTCGTTACCTTGCCTTGTTCGTATGTACGTACACCTTGCTGGTGTATGTACGATATGTGTACATACGACTGGTGTACGAGCTGCACCACCCGGAAGACGGGTGGTGCGATTCGTACCTCGGGCGCTGGTTCCCGGCGTGATCATTTTGTTTCTGGGCAGTGTACACGTGTGTTGTTGTTCCGCATTCTTTCTCACAGATTCTACGCAGTTTTTGCTCTTCTTCTTTCCGGTCATAACCCCCTGGATACTTGGTGTTCTGAAGCGAGTGTGGGGCGGCTCTAAGTGGCGCCTCCTCTGCCTCTGTACTGCATGCACCTCGTATTCTACTGGGCATGCACCTCTGGATGGTCTCCACTAGGGATGCTCCTGTTACATTGCACAGCTCAGCTGTGTCATGACACGATGGGGTGTGTTTTGCAGGTGAGATTGTACTGTCTGGCGAATCTGTCGGCTGGGTGCTGGTTCTTGCAATTTGGTGGAGTACTCGCCTCGTTGTACTCGCCTAGTTATGCTTGCGGGGGTTCAGCTCTGGCTCTTTGGTCCTGCCTTTCCACTGTCAATCATCAGGTGTACAGCTTCCTGAGCCTACTGGGTTCTATCTTCTCTACATTTGCGACTGTGTATAAAGTCTTCCTCCACCACATCACTTCCTAGTGCATTCCACTTACTGCCTACTGACACTGAAATAGTTCTTTGTGTGTCTGTGGCTCATTTGGGTACTTAGCTTCCGCCTATGTTCCCTTGTGCGTGTACCACCCGTGTTCAATGATCCATCCTTGTCTACCCTGTCACTTCCCCACTTGACAGGGTAGCGTCATTGGCTCCTAACATGGGTGTTATGTGTTTTGCTTGGACACTTTGTGTGTGTCTTACAGTGACTACTTTGTCCGTGTATCTTGTTGTACTGGGGGGCACTGCCCCGCATTTCGGTGTTTTTTGTTTCTTTTTCGGCGCCTGGGTCTTTTCTTGCTCTTTGGACACACCTTCGTTCCCCCAGTCCATGTTTGTGTCCTCCTTCATCGACTTGGTATCTGGTCTCTGAACACTCCTTCCTTGCCTATCTTCGGTGCCTGGGTGCACCCCTGATATCCGTGGTGTCCCTCTGTGTATGTGTGACCCCCCACTCCACACGTTGTGGTTGATCGGGTACATTGCGTTCCCGGCTGCTACTTGGTCCGTATTCCGGTCTTTTCCCTTGCCTACTTCTGTTTTTCCCCTCTTTGCTACACATGGTTGTGTATCTTGGTCAGCACTTATTGGCTATACTGTTGTTAGGTGCTGGGGTGGGCCTCTGTCCATGTTCCGTTCTCTGATTTTGGACTGCCCCAGTGTTTAATTTTGGTACTGAGTTCCCTTTTTCCTTGTTCTCCCTGCAGGCTTTTGTGTTGCAATGTCTGTGGGAGGTTGTGGACTTCCGGTCAACCGCTCCTGCCCTCCTGGTTCCTTTTCTTGGGACAAGGGTAGCTTGGATTCAGGTCCTGGCTTCTGCTTTTCTTTGTTCTTTTTCCGGAACGTGCGTTTTTGTTCTTGAACGTGCCTCGTTCTTCCCTGCTGGAGCTGGTTGCACTGATCCTTAGGGTTGCCGGGTCCCTGCTTTTCGCTTCGCGTCTCGTGTTTTAGTTCGTAGTGCTTGGTTTCTTCGTTGGCCTCTGCCTGGGCCCTGGCTCTTCAATGTTTTGCCTTGTTGGTTCTTCCAGGGTCCGGGGGGGGGGGGGGTGTTCCTCCCGGACGGGACGTTTCTGTTGTCTGAGTTGGTTCCTTTTCAGCTCACCGGAATTGGGTTCCTGGTTCCCTGGCGGTCGTTCCTTCTGGTTTTTGCTAATCTTGTTTGAGGGCTCTACATTCCTTGGTTCCGATCCTGAGGGACTTTCCGAGGATCCGCGTCTTTTTTGCGGATCGGTCCAGCCCTGTACGGGACTGGTTCGTTCTTCCCCTCGAGTCTTCGCGTCTGGGGTTTTTTGTCTCGTGTTCTCGTCGCTTGTGGGGGCGCTGGTGGCTTTGTTGTTGGTCTCCCACCTGCATGCTTCGTCTCGGCGGCAGTGTGTGGTTTCCTGGCGGTCCTTCTGGTTTTCTTATCACTGCAAAGGGTTCTTCGGTCTCTAATAGGGTGGTCTTGTCTTTTCCTTCAGGGTTGTTCCGGGACCGTCTTCTGGTGCTGTGTACTGTTGCCTCGTATTGGGTGGCGCTGGAGGAGCCACTCCAGCTTGCGTTCAGTGTTGCAGTTCCTTCTGCTCCTTTCCGCTTGCTGTCTTGGGCGTTGTTTCACCTTTGGCCTGTTCTTGCACTTCTGGTGCTGTCCTGGTCGTTAGCCCGGGTGGTCTATTTTCTTCTTCTCCTCGGTTTGTCGTGATCACTTTGGTTATGGTGTATTTTTGTTTTTCAGGTCTCCTTCTGTTGGTGTTGACCTCTAGGGGTCGGGTTGGGGAGTTTCCAGCTCTCCTCTGGCGCTCGTGGTTTTCTGCCTCGCTGGTCCTTGTGGTAGGTTGTTCTTTTGATGCAGTCTCCTTCTCGGGTGATGTTTGGGTCTGCTGCTTCCTGAGAGGTCCTGGGGTTGCTGCTTGGTTGGTCAGGCCGGGGTGTTTCCTTTTGTTGTTCGATTGCGGCTCTTTGCTGTTCTCTGCGTGTCTTGGCCTCCAGGGCTGTGGATGCATTTTGGTTTGCCTAGATTCCCTTCCTTCCTTCCTGTTCTGGGGTTCGGGTATCTCATGTCATCGGCAAGGTCCTTTCTTTTAGTCTGTGGTCTTGTTTTTATGTTAGGGCGCATGGCGTCCGCCTCCCGGATCCTTCCCTCTTTTCCTTATCTGTGGTGAGGCAGCTCCGGGGATCTGACGGGGCTCCCCCCAGAAAACCAGCGTTGAATGTAATGAAACGCCATTTTCTGGGTGAGTCCCGGAGGCTCCCCGGCATCCCTCCCTCCCTCCGGTCGGCAGTGTTTTTCTAGCTTTTTGACATCCAGCCTTAGAACTGAAGGTTGGGTTGCCGGCGGGTGGGTTTGGGGTTCCTCCTTTCCCCTCTCAGGAAGGGGGGTGTTGTGCAGACAGTGGCGCGGCGACATGATGACATCATGCTAGTTTGCTAATTTTCGGTTGGGAGTTCTGTCCACTTATTCGGCCTTCGGTCACAATAGTTTTACCAGAATAGGGGTTTGTTTTGGGGCGCCTACCTTTCTGGGTGCCTGTCTCGGTCGATGGCAGACATAGAATGCTCCCAACCACAGGGTGGGGGTCTCTATAGGCCATTGCTCCTCGTGCCTCTCTAGAGGGGGGCCAGGTTTTGGCTCGTGGTCCCCGGTAGGCAAGAACTCCATGCATTGACTGATGCCGGAAAGATATACATATCCATTCAGGCTGGATAGCTCCGGGAAACCTCCGAGACTCGCCCAGAAAATGACGTTTCATTACATTCAACACTGTTTTTTTTTTTCCTTTGTTAAACTACTTCATTACTTTGTGTTCATGAATGTGGCTAATTGCTAAACCATTTGTATGTGCATTGTATGTTTCTAAATTTAAGAAATAAAAAAGTCTGCAATAATTTTTATCAAATGACTTTAATTAGTTGTTGTGTACAACCCCTCCTCCGAATAGACAGTATATTTTAATACTAAGTGTAATACAGTAAGTACAATCCTGACTACAGGCTTAGTACATAAATACACTTAATTGCCAGAATCGCACCAAAATATTGTGAATATTAGAGTTTACCTGAAAAGCTATATAGAAAACCACGACCTAACCTAACCTTCTTAGTGTATGAGGACAAGCATTTTATTGCTTCTTAATTACAATTAGTACTTAACATATAGCTATATTGATATTACAGTTTTATAAAACTAATAAAACAAAACTAAAGTCTTTCAATAAATTATAAAGTAACTCAGGATATTTTCAAATTTTGTATAAAATCTGTATTGTTTAATAAAACTGAAAAAGAAATTCCTTATATTTAAAACTTGCATATATAGAATTGAACATGAAAAATTCATCTTAAAATTTTGAGTGTCTTAACAGAAAATGAGGAGAATATATGGGGAGGTAAATGTAACAGCCCCATAAGTGTAACTATGTACTATGCGGGACAGTCAGGCAATGTACTTTTTACATTTAGTATTAAAACACTGTCTATTCGGAGGATACGTTGGGTGTGTGGTCCTCATGACAACACAAATGTGACCTATATAACCCTCGGGGGACCCTCAGTTTGACGTGCCTGGTACTATACAGTACCTTAAGAAAGGATGTATATAGTACTTTGTATATAGTACTTTGGAAAGGATGTATATAGTACTTTGAGAAAGAATGTAGGTAGCATCCAAAAATTCGTTTTTTAATATTTATTTATTTATTTATATACAAGAAGGTACATTGGGTTTGTTAGAATACATAGCATAGTACAGTATTTACACTCTTGTAAAGCCACTAGTACGCGCAGCGTTTCGGGCAGGTATACATACTGTATACATACATTTATACATACTGTATTTTGGGCCTTTCCTTCACTTTCATTCAAGCACTGTGGCATTGTTGTAAGTTCCTCCATAAAAAATTTAATATTTGTGTGTTTAAGTAAATTACGCGAGTGATAACACAGTAGTAAGGGATTCATTTCTCCACAGTTATCTTTAATGAAAGCGTTAGTGTTATTTATCACTTGGTCATAATCAAATAATTTGTGCAGTTTTATTAATGAAAACAAGCAATTCAGTTAACTTACATTTACTTCATTTTGTAAACATATTTCAGATTAACTTGTATGATGTTCAAGGAACAGGAAAAGATGGCAGAATCCTGAAGGAGGACTTACTTCAACACTTGGAGGCTATGAAGAGTGAAGGCAAACCTTCTGTTCCTTCAACCCCAGTTATAGGCACAGCTCCTGTAGCATCTAGTAAGAAATATTTATCCAGTACAATGATAATTTTAGGTTTTATGATTTATTTCTGACGTGAGCCCCGTCGGCTCCCTCAGGCTAACTGACTGATATTCACTATATTAATCTAAAGCATTAGTTACTTGGAATTCTTGCTACCAGAAACCAAGAGCCAGAACTTGGCTTCCTCACAGAGGTGCAGGGAGCAATGGCTTATGAACACTATACTTTTTGAGAGTATAGTCATGTCTGCCATTGACTGGGGGTATCACCCAGAAAGGTAGGCAAACCATTACAAACACCTACTGGTAAAACATTGCAACCCAAGACCAAACAGAGCCCAAGAGTCCCCCCCCCCCTCTTCCCAAAAGGAAACAACAAACAAGCAAATGTCTACTAAACTAGCACGCACACGTGTTAGACCCCCCCCCTCTCTCCCCTTTCCCGGGAAAGGGGATGAAGGGGGGGGGGCCCACCTCATCCTTCCCCTTCCTACAGGGGAAGGATGAGGTGGGCCTTTGGTGCAGCGTTTGTGCCAGTGCCTCCTATGGTACCTTCTTCGTATGGCCGGTGCAGTGCTCATTCTGCTGACATGTCAGATTCTCGCTTTTCTTGTTTTCTTTAACCCTTGTGTTGCTCAGTGCTAATTAGCATTTGTCACCCACAGGCGCATACCAAAAAGAAATATATTTTTTCTTTTAAACCTGTTAATTTGTGTTCTCTGATCATGGGAAAATAATAAAATCGTAAGTGGCATATATTGCCCACTATAGGGCGGGGAAGTCTGGCAAAAAACAGGCGCTGATTCAGCGTGCGTCCCAGACGGTCTGTTGCTCTCCAGCTGTCAGGCAGGAGTGGCCACAAAGAGATAATTACCTAGTTATTTCAATGTGTCCGATTGATTTTTCGTAGTTTTTTTGCTGTAATATTATTCAATAGTGTGTAGTGTGATATATTTCTATAATAAAATGTTTGAATCATCGCTGTACTCAAAATTATGGTGTGCATATTGTTGATTCAATTATGTTCATCAAACAGTGAACAAATACTTTGTTGGTATTACACTATATACTCAGGTTGTATATAAGTATCTGCATGTTTTGTTTACCCTAACGAACCACTAAGTTGGTATTATGAGTCAAAAAGCAACGAGGAGTGACCGCCACACACCTGCCAGCCACTCGTTGCCACTCACTCCCTCAACACCTCACTCACCCACATTCTCCTCCCAATATACTGTTTTTGCTTTTACCCACTATATATACAGACGTTATAACGAACCACTAAGTTGGTGTGCTGAGTGGTAGTGTCAGTGGCAGCCAGCGGTAGCCGCCACTGGCTGTCACTCCCTCCCTCACCTCACCTGACTCGCCCACATTCTCCTCCCACAATACTGTTTTTGCTTTTATTCACTATATACAGATGTTATATATAAGTATCTATATGTTTTGTTCACCACAACTGTACAACTAAGCTGATATAGTTAGTTCAGGCATTAAGAGACGTCGCTATACATAGTCAGCTGGCGGCTGCCTCCCTCACACACATTCAAGGTCAAACGCACTAAAATTTCACCCCCAGCAATACTGTTTGTGGTGGTATTACCCTATATACACACATTATATATAAGTATCTACATGTTTTGTTCACCATAACTGTTCAATTAAGTCGGTATAGTGCCCAAAGAGATTAGTGGCCACCCCTACCCAGCATGATAAATCATGCAGATGTCGCCACCACGCTCACCAAAATGGCTTCTTCCCCACACACTCCTTTTACTGCTATTATACTATATATACACGTTATATACAAGTATCTACATTCGTGTTCACCGTAACGAACCACTAAGTTGATATGGTGAGTGGCAGGGGCAGTGGCAGCCAGTGGCAGACCGCCACTGGCTGCCACTTCCTCCCTCACCTCACCTGACTCGCTACCATTTTCCTTCCACAATTCTGTTTTTGTTTTTATTCACTATATACAGATGTTATATATAAGTATCTGCATGTTTTGTTCACCATAGTAAACAATTAAGCTGGTATAGTGAGTCCAGACAGTAAAAGGTGGTCACACAGAGTCAGCAGACAATACTACCTCCCTCCCCACTAAGATTACTCCTCCCACTACAGCGCTAATTATCACAACAATCCTGCTATTATCAGAATCCTGGTCATTTTTATCACAGTCGGGGATCTTCTGTAATACTATCATCACTAAATAATACCATGAACATATATATTAAGGCTTTTTAAGCGATGCTGTGGTCACAAGCTGAACAGCAGTACTGTGAGCTCATGCTGCGTGTGTCAGGCTTGGTGGCTCACTCAATACTGAGGCCCTCACACCCGGGAATTTGGCCCACAATTTTTTTTTAAATGGCGTCTGTTTACAAAAGCCCTGATGAAGGTGAGGTGAACCCCATGTATCCGCGAGCCATTTGAATCTTGCGTAGTACTCCAATACATCATGTGATGTGATGCACAATTTATAGCAAGTCACTCAACGCATCATATGATGTGTTGCGCAGTTTAAGGGTTAAAAAAAAATCTCGGAGGGAGGCGATGGGGGGAAGGCTCACTTTTATTTGCTCACACCTGGTCCCACGATACATGGGCATTCAGGTCATGTCCTTCGGCCTGTGGTGACATTGGGTGGCTCCTCCTCCTCCGGGGGCTGACGGGGCAGGCTTCTTTCCCTGCGCTCCGTTAGGTCGTATTGGTGTAGGAACGCTTTGGCGTGGTCGACATGCACACATCCCTCAGGTGGGTTTCTCGCCTGTTCCCATGCTGAAACGGGATTGTGCTGTTCTGCAGTTCATTCTGGACTTGTCCCGTCTGAACCCTTGGATTCCTTGTTCTACCTTTCAGATGACCGCTCTGTCTCAAGTCTGGCTTCTGTTGGAACTGGGTGCCTGGGTGGGGTCCTTGGACCTCAGGGGCATGTATTAGCGCGTTCCCATCTCCAGGGCTCAGGGACTGCTTTGGTTTATTGTGGGGCATCCAGCTTACCGCTTGTGTTGCCTTCCTTTTTTCTTGAATCTGGCACCTCATGTGTTCCTGCATCTTACTCGGTCATGGTGGCTCTTCTGCATCTGCAACGGGTTTGGGTTCTGGCCTACCTCGACGACAGGTTGGTGTGGGTTCCCAGCCAGTCTACTTGTCTGCTCGCCAGGGATGTGATTCTTTCCCAGCTCCACCGGGTTCGGGTTCCTGGTGCACTGGTAGAAGTCCCATCCGGTTCCGTACTAGGTCACTCGGCGGTTGCTCGAGTGGTTGTTCAGGAGTCTGACATTTGTTGTGCTGGTTTACCCGCAGGCTCGGGTTTGACTTCAGCATCTGTTCTGGTTCCTTCAGGGACGCCCTTCTGCCTTTCTCGCCATTGCTTGGTTTGCCCTCAGTGGGCCTTGCATTGGTTGCTGCGTCGCCAGCTTCCTCTTCAGGGTTTACGGGGTTCAGTGTCTTGGCACCTTCCTGAGCTCTCGCTCGATATGTTCACGGACACATCGTCTCTTGGGTGGGGCTGTGTGTCCTGTGCTCACCAGGCCAGCCAGGGGCAGAGGGGTTTGTCTTTCCGGCGGGCTCACAGCACGGTGCGGGTGTTCGCGGTGGGTTGGCTGTCACTTCAGAGGGTTCAGGTTGCTCGGGGTTTGACCATCTGACTCCATTCGGACTGTTCTCCGGTGGTTCCTTGCCTGAACTGTTGGGGGTTCCCTTTGGACCTTACCTCTTCGTATGGCTCCTCTGCTGGTTGCTGGTTCTCGGGGTTTGGCTCTCTGTGCAGTTCATATCCAGTGTCTGTCCAATGTCCTGGCAGATAGTCTGTCTCGGTTCATTCCCGTCGTGAAATGGATAGTCGATGCCGACTCCTTCGGATGGCTCTGCCAGATTTCCGGGCTCCCAGGAGCGAACCTATTCGTGTCGGCATGGTCGTGTCGTGTCGTGTTTTGGTGCCCTTCCCTGATTGCGGAGCCTTTGCGATGGATGCCCTTCGGCAAGACTGGTCGAGGTGGGGTTCCCTGTACCTCTTCCTGGTCTGGCTGTTGCTTCGGGTTCTAGCTCAGTTGTCTTCCCACGGGAAAATCGTCCTAGTGGCCACTTTGTTACAGGCGCTGCTTGCTTGGTGTCCACACCTGGGGCATTTTCCATGGCTATGTCTCTTTTCAGCAGCTTGGACCGGTCCAGTACATGGTTGGTTCGGTCTTTTCCGCTCTTCGTGTCTTTTTTTTTTTTTTTTTTTTTTTTTTTTTTTTTTTTTTTTTTTTTTTTTTTTTTTTAGCGGGTTTATCACCATATGTTTGATGATCAGGTGGCTTTGTTAAAGGTGTCCCACATGAGAGCTTTGTTTCAGCGACAGTTTGAAGTTTCCTAATGTTCTTTCTGCCATTTTCTCTTTCTTCATCGGTTATCTTCTGTTTCTGATTGGGTTGTCTTATCAGAAAATGGCGTTTCATTACATTCAATGCTATTTTTTCTCTCTCTCTCTCTCTGGGGAGAGAGAAAGAAAAGGAGCCGAATGGGATCCCCAGAGCTTATCCAGGCTGATTTGCTAATGTCAGACTTTGGCATAAGTCATGTGTATGGAGTTCTATGGGCCTACCGGGGACCACGACCCAGAACTTGGCCCCCTCAGAGAGGCAAGGGGAGCAATGGCCTATAGAAACCCCGTGTGGTAGGAATCGTTCTATGTCTGCCATCGACCGGGTCAGGCATCCAGAAAGGTAAGCATCCCAAAACAAACCCTTATTCTGTTGAAAATTGCTACCACAAGCCGAACAAGTGGATAGAACGCCCCTAAAAGAAACGAGCAAACGATCATGACGTCACACGTGGCCGCGCCACTGTCTGCGCAGCTCCCTCCCTCCCCAGGAGTAGGAAGGGGGAGCCCAGACCTACCGCGCCGGCCAATCACCATCAGTTCTTCAGCTGATGCTAAAGGCTGAGGTCGTGTGCTCAACTGGTGTTTAAGGTGGGCTCCGGTGGTTCTTTCAGCACTGTGTACAAGATCAATGGAGGGGATGA